TCATTGGAGTCAGGTATACTACAGTGTACTTTCATCATCTGGCAGATTATGCTGAATAACAAACCAGATGTTCCATTACTTCACTCCCAACTACTACTTCTCTCCAAGAGGGGTGGGTTTGCACTTTGATATCCTACTTGCACACAGACGTAAAAATCTCTTTCTTCCCCTTAGGAAACTAGCATCTTATTATTCATTTACTACCTTCTCTGGGAAGAGCTTCCTTGATCTCATTTCAGTATTCATTTAGCTCATTACTTCCTGAGGACCAAAAATTACTAGAATGCTTTGTGAGACATAAAACCTGAGATTCCCAAATCTGCATTACTGATGATGGAAAAACCCAAATTAACAACGGAAGGAGCTGTGGTTCGGTGACCTTTCACTAAGCTTTTTTTTTTTTTTTCTTCAGTGTTTAGTAACACAGAGGCCTAATCAGCAAAACATGATTTCAGCTTCCTTTAGAAAAATGAGACCTTTAGAGCAAAAGGTGATTTTGAGCAAAAACTAAATTTTGGACCCCTAAGCAAAACATTTAGAGAGGTTCCTTTTCCATTAACCATCCCCAGAAAGGACCTCAACCTGCAATGCGCAAGGGGTGGAGAGAGGATGAGTGAGTCCCTGTATTCTTTTTGTTTGTTTGTTTGTTTGTTGTGAGATGGAGTCTCACTCTGTCGAGCAGGCTTGAGTGCAGTGGTGCGATTTCATCTCACTGCAACCTCTGCCTCCTGGGTTCAGCTGTTTCTCCTGCCTCAGTCTCCTGAGTAGCTGGGATTACAGGCACCCCCTACCACACCCAGCTAATTTTTGTATTTTTAGTAGAGATGGGGTTTCATCATGCTGGCCGGGCTAGTCTCGAACTCCTGATCTCAGGCAATCCACCTGCCTCGGCCTCCCAAAGTGCTGGGATTACAGGCATGAGCCACTGGATCCGGCCCCAGTCCCTGTACTCTTGATAAGATAAAGTGGCCAAAAAAACAAGGTGTTGTCCAAAAACTGAGAGTATAAAAATAAGGACGAGAGAATGATAGAAACTGGGGCTAGTGCTCCACTTTCACCCTCACCATTGATGACATCTAATTTCAGGTAGTCACAATTGCCTTTCTTTGGAAAGGGTACCTGTCTGGTTAAGATCCAGCTGACAAGCACTTTGTTATAGTCTCTCTACTCTTCTGTATGTTTGAACATTTCTAAAATAAAAAGTTTTTTATAAAAAGTATGTTGACTGGTTCACTGGAAAAGAAGAATGTATAGAAGGCAAAAGAAGTGAAGGATGTCAGTCCAGTCAACTTGGAACTGAAAATCTTGAGCAATCTGCCAAGTCACAATGCAAAAAGAAAGAGAAAGATGGAAAAATGCCAGATGCAAGGAGGGCAGCCCATGGTCCTGCTCAAAGAACTTTTTAGGGTGATGGGAAGGTCCAGAAAAAGGAGGACATGCTGCTGTCTGCATCTTGCCCTCAACAGAGGATTCAGACAGAGCTGCATCAGCTTCAAAAACCAAACACCCATATACTGAGAAGGCATATGCTCTGTTTATTTGACCCGAAGGAAAAAGGGTTTTGCTTACGCTGTCAGACCCATATATCTATAAACAAGTGGAAACAACAGATGTAAGGCATGGAAAGAAGTCGTGTATAGAAAGAATAAAAATAATATCTGACTGCTTGACTTTCTTTAAAGGTAGTTTAAGTCCTTTTCCGTTAAGGAAATGCCTACTATAGGGCCAGGCGCAGCGGTTCACGCCTGTAATATTAACACTTTGGGAGGCTGAGGTGGGTGGATCACCTGAGGTCAGGAGATCAAGACCATTCTGGTTAACATGATGAAACCCTGTCTCTACTAAAAATACAAAAAATTAGCCGGGCATGGTGGCAGGCACCTGTAGTCCTAGCTACTTGGGAGGCTGAGGCAGGAGAATTGCCTGAACCTGGGAGGCGGAGCTTGCAGCGAGCCGAGATAGCGCCACTGCACTCCAGCCTGGGCGACAGAGAAAGACTCGTCTCAAAAAAAAAAAAAAAAAAAAAAAAAAAAGAAATGCCTACCATATTAATGACTTAGTTTATGTAATTAATTAAAACCTGCAATTTTTTTTAAACTTTGAACTTTTTTGACTTGCAGAAAAGTTGCAGCATACAAAGCTTGTATCCTTTATACCACTTCCCTCAATGCTAACCATATGCTTACATAACCATAGCATAATTATCCAGAACAGGAGATTCATATTCATACAATACTATTAATTAAACTACAGGCCTCATTAGAACTTCACCATCTTTTCCACCACTGTCATTTTCTGTTTCAGAATCCTATTCAGGATGATTCCATATTGCATTTAGTTGTTACTTCTCCATAGAGAAGTATTGCCTTCCAGGCCATAACAATTCCTCAGTCTTTCCTTGCCTTTCTTGGGCTTGACGCTTTTGAGGAGAACTGATGAAAATGATTTTGCAGAATATCCTTCAGTTTGTGTTTGTTTAATGAGTTTTTTCTTCCTCCTTCCCTCCCTCTCTCCCTTCCTTTCCTTCCTTCCTTTCTTCCATCTCTCTCTCTCTCTTTCTTTTTGTACTTTTTGTAGAGACAGGGTTTCACTGTGTAGCCCACGTTGGTCTCAAACTCCTGACTTCAAGTGATCCGACCACCTTGGCCTCCCAAAGTGCTGGGATTACAGGCATGAGCCACCACACATGGTTTGTTTAATGGTTTTTCATGACTGGAATGAGGTTATGTATCTTTAGCAAGAATACTATAAAAAGGATGTTGTGTCTTTCTTTGTATATCATGTAAAGGGGTTCATGATGTCAATATGTCTTATTATGTGATGTTTCATTTGATCACTTGGTTAGGGTGGTATATGCTGGTTTTTCCACTGCAAAGTTACTTAATTTTTCCCTTGGTAGCAAATAAGCATTTTAAGTGAGATATGCTGAGACTACGCAAATTCCGTTTCTCCTCAAATCACTGCCCACTAATTTTAGCATCAATCTGTGAATCTTGTATGTAACAGTTATTACCATGGTATTTCCCCAATGGTGATTCTGTTTTCCACTTTCCTTTTATATGTATTCTTTGGAATTCTACTTAAAGAGTTGTCCCTTCTCTCCTATTTATTCTTAAAATTATTTATATAACTATGGACTTCTGGATATTATTTTATTCTATGGGTGAAAATCCAATGCTATCATTTTTTATCTAGCTGCTCAAATTCCTCTGTCTTTGGCCATTAGGAACACCATTTATGTGGACTCCTATGTCCTTTTGACAAGCCCATATCTTTTTTCTGTGCGTTTCCTTATTTACTGGCACTTTAAGATGTTTCAGGTTTATTTTGTGCTTGCCCTGCCTGAACCCTGGAATCAACTGCTTGCCAGGGTGGCTTTGTTCCTTTTACTGGACAATGATGTTTAGAAACAAGATACAGGTGCTGAGTGAGTTTATTGCTACTGGGCTGTTGGTTTTAGGCCTTATCGACAGAGCTCAGTAATACATGTGTGTATGCTAACCCATTTATATACATACAGCTATATTTCCGCATCTGTCTGTGTGTCTGTGTCTGTGTATGTGTGTGTGTATACGTACATTTCAAAACATATGAGTTACTGCTAGCCTGATTCCAATCCAACATCACAGGGTTCATGCTGGCCTTCTCCTTTCTGTATCCATAACTTTTCTCCATAAATGCGATACCTCTACTACCCTCCTTTAACTTAGAAGATAGTTATATTTAATGATAAGCTCTAAAGTCATCCATGGATTGATTTGGAAATGGATTTATTCATTTATAAAATATTAATTTGGCATGTACCATGCTGGAGGCCGTGGGCTCTGGGGTAGAACTCTGGGTGGAACACAAATGAATCTTAGCCCCTGCCCTCAGGTAGTTTATGGGCTACCAGAAAACATATCAAAAGAATACAGAGAGTAAGGACTGTTTGGAGAGACAAACAAATCGCTCTGGGAGTGTAGAGGAAGGAGAAATGTACTCCCATTGCAAAAATAAGGAAAGGCTTCATGGAGAAGCTGTGGATCTGTAAGGATGGGCAGGATATGGATCTGTAAAGATTAGGGGAAAGCACTCAAGGAAATGGGAATAGCTTGAATAAAAGCACAAAAAGGAACAGAAGTAAGGCAAGGCATGCCAAGGAAACAGAAAAGCTGTGTCTGGGGAGGAACTGGGTCCTGTGAGGGAAGCACGTGGGGGCAGCTGGGTCCCAGAGCTCAATGAACAGCTGGCTGCAGTGGAATGTGGCCTTGTCTGGTGGGCCTGGAGAGCCCCTGCAAGTTTGTGAGTAGAGAAGTGACCTGTCAGGAGTGACACAGTGGGACTCAGAGTGGAGGGGGATTTGGGGGATAGAGAAGATCTTTGGAGGAGATAAATATTTGCAAGCTACTGAAATAGTTTAGAGTATCCGACAGGGTCTGAATTGGGGCAAGGGCAAAAGGTGTGAAGAGGAGGGGATGTAAAGAGCATATGAGCATAATCAATTTTGACAACAAATTTTGTAAGAGCAAGAAGAGAGTCAAAGGTAACCTCTGGATTTCAAAAGGAGATATTAAAAACCAGAGCTAGAAACTAGGAGATAAGCAAGACGGTGGGAAAGTGGTCAATAGTCCCCCAAATGCAGAGTTGAGATAGATCACTTTCCTGTGACTATTTCAGTGCTCTGTTGTGGGTGGACAAAAAAGGAGAGAAAAATCAGACTTTATATCAAACAATGCTGTTACTTTTTAGCAGCACTGGAAGTCTTCACCAGAGGAGAAAACCATACTAAGAAGCAAAACGAAATTTCTAGATGTTAATGAAATTGAATTTATCTGTGATTGTGGTTAGCCATTGGCATTGATAATCACCACAGACAGTATTTTCTTTGAAGGTAGATAGTTAGCACTCTCTAAACTAGAAATTGCCCCCATTTTATCCATTATGACTCTGGAGCTTTTACAACAGAACCATATAACTTCAGTCACCAGGGAGTTTTAGAACACTGAAGTTAGAATGGAACCATCACTGCTACTCCATTAATGTTGTATCACTATTCAGATGCAGTTTATCGCAGGGAACAGCTTAAACTCAAATATATTAGCATCTATCCGATCATGACAACACTTCTTAGTTGGTACATAACATATGGGCAGAGGCTGTGCTTGCCGGAGACTATCTGTCTTTCAGGCTTAAGAAGCAATGGCGAGTCAACTGCTGTCGTGCCACAGTCTCTGTTTATCATGTTCTTATTATCTTTCTTATTATGAAAGGAAAAGCTAAATGTGTTCATTTGTTTGCAGGGTGATAGACAACTTAATCACGTCATAGGGCAACAGGAAGGATAGAAGTGGAGGGAAAAAGAGCAAGCAACTTTTCTTCTATTCGATTGGGAAGGAGTTTGGAACTGCAGACCCATGGCTATAAGGAAGTCTGGTGTGGATGCCCAGCCTTGCCCCAAAGGGCAATAGGTCCTCGCTGAGTACTCCTGCATCCACTGCTCTCCCATCTTCCCGTTTGTAAAGGTGAGTGACTTCAAGCCTTATTTTAGGCAAAGTATCTCTCCTGCCCCAAAGGCTCTCACAGAACAAAGCTGCTACAATGGTTCCTGAAACAGACACGATTCCTACAGAATCAGAGATAATTTTCATTTCAGAAAAGAAGACAAAGACATTATTTAATTATCCTCTTCGGGACAAAAAAGTACCACGTGGAAGATGGAGGCCAACTATTTCTTCTTCAGGAGAGTCAAAAGAATCACACTCAAGAAGAGGTTCACTACAAAATCTAAGGATGCTCATGGCCAGAATGCATTTCCAGGCAAGAGTTTGTGGACACTGAGTTCACAAAGGTGCGGATGAAGACTGTGCGCTGGGCTTCACTAGCACAAAGACGGGCTGATGGTGCAAAGACGAAGAGGAACAGTCCCAGCCATCAGGGAACTCAGCAGCTTAGAAGATACTAAACAGCTACTCCTCCAGGAATTAAGTTCCCTCACTACAAAGCTGCCATATTAAGAAACATCTTTATAAATTAAGGGAAGCAGGGTTGGCAGGATTGAAGGGTCAATGCAAGCACTGAAACACAATAGCAAGGAATAGGTAGAGGCAGAAACTGTGATGTGGTAATCATCTTCTACCCGTGTGCACTGTCCCCATACCTCCCACGACACACTCTCCCCTCAGTCGCCACTTTCCCTGGTCTCTATGCTCTCAGGTACCCTCTTCTTAGTCCCTCTTTCTTACGTTTAAATGAGGAGTAACATGACACTAGACATCTGTACTTATTTATTAGTTACATGTTAGTATGTTGGTTCCTTTGGTTCTTATGTTACCAATTGATTTCATGATTCTTTTGTTTTTAAGTTTCTAGTTAGGAAATTGAAGGCTCTGTCACTGCTATAGGCATTTCAAGCTTGGCCATTAGGCTCTGTATATTGACAGAGATGAGAAAGACTGCTATAGGTACATTTTTAGTTCTCTTAAAAAAAACGGGTAAAAGACGTGGGGTAGAAGAATTAGAAGCAATGCAGAGTCCGTGTTTTTTTCTTTCTCCTAAGGTTATGGCTCGTGTCCCAAGTTGTTGGAAAGGAACCTCTGGTTGCAGCAGGACTGACGGTACAATTTGCAAGCCCAGTGTGAAATGAAAATGCAGGGCCCCTTGATCAAAAATTATAAAGAATCTCAAGACGGCGCCAGCAGAGCGTTAAAGCAAGCCCCAAGTCCCAGGCGCTGCACAGCCTCGCTCTTCTGCAGTTCAGCTCTTCCTTTTACGTTCCTCTTCTGGCTACCTCATTTATCCTTCCGTAAACCTTCACTGATGAGAGATGTGGTAGCACAAGCAAGTCTATCATTCTTGCAACTAAAATGAACCGCACACTTAGGACACCACAGGTCTCCCACTGTCATTTCTTCCTCTTACCTTGTACCATCTAAAAATTGCAGGGATGTATTAAAATGCTTTCTACTCCATGTTATTTTAAGTAATATTTAATTAGGTTTTTATGCTTTAATATGATGTCTGATGTTCTGGATCGTATCCTCTGATTTTTTTTCTACTATACTAAAGTTCCTGACACTAGCTTAGGAGGATGGACTGCATCCCCTTCATCAGAAGCCTTTGTCTTCCTTCTGCCTAAACTTCTGTCCCAGGCTCAACAATCCTCCCGTGCAGTCTCCTTCCGTAATCTCCCCTTCTGGAGAATAAAAAGAACTTTGTAAAAGTACTTTAGAAATAAGCCGGGCGCGGTGGCTCATGCCTGTAATCCCACCACTTTGGGAGGCCCAGACGGGTGGGTCACCTGAGGTCAGGAATTCGACACCAGCCTGGCCAACGTGGTGAAACGCCATCTCTACTAAAAAAAAAAAAACTACAAAAATTAGTTGGGCATGATAGCTGGTAATCCCAGCTACTCGGGAGGCTGAGGCAGGAGAATTGTTTGAACCTGGGAGGCGGAGGTTGCAGTGAGCCGAGATGGTGCCACTGTACTCCAGCCTGGGTAACAAGAGTAAAACTCCGTCTCAAAAGAAAAAAAGTACTTTAGAAATAATTTTCTGATTTGCATACTACTTTGAATAGTATTTTTGCCTGCTTTCTTTGCCCAAATTTTTGTAAGAAAAAACATCATGCAAATAAAAGGTACTCAATTCTTACTTTCACAACAGGGACAGTATCTTTCTCCTATTCTCAGATCTTCATTGCTTACCTTTTACATTAGTTCCTCGATGGTTTATAAGTTTTTGTTATCTTGATTTTTTTTGGATATCTTGTAATCTTTTTATATCACCTAATTTGAACTGGAATGGAAGGATGTCATCATGTGGGGAAAAATATTATAAAATACTTTCAAAGAAACTAAGTTTCATTGATCTCAAGATTATGCAGTACCTCAAACTAAGGTGAACAAAGTGTTGCTTCGTTAACAGGGACTTGGAGTCAGTTAAGTGCTTTAATAAGTAGATAAGGCTTATTTGCAATTAGCATATTGATTGTTTACATATAAATGAGAGCTTCTAAAGTGCTTGAGGGGAGCAGGAAAATAGCTTGTTAAGAGTTTTAAATGCCCCCCTTAGAGATCATTCATCTCTATACTAATAGACACTATCTTTGAACCAAGTCTTTGCTAGTCCAAGGAGATATCAACCAAAAAGCTAAAATCACTATACATTTCAAATAAGTACAATTAATTAATGATCTTTATTTTTGGAACAATGTTACCAAAAGTCCCTTTAGAGTGGGTTCACCTGATGGACAAACAATTGAAAAGACAATCAGATACAGAACTAGTTTCACACCAGCCATGGTGATCTCTCGTATCTCCATTTTAAGGAAAACGACCAAATTTCACAAGTTTTGTTCACAGCTGACTGAACCAGGTAGAAGGACCCAACCCAAGGAAAGCCCGTGGTCTCTGTATGACACAGATGGGCTTGAAAAATGAGCTTGGTCTGTCAGCTTCTGACCCTCCCAAGTTTATCTGGAAACACAGAGAAACAGATACAGTTAGCTGTGGCAGCAGAACCTAAAAGACAGCAACACAGAAGACAGGCCAAAGGAGGGGATGAGCCACATTCGAAAGCCAAGAAACTAAGAAATTTCTATGAGGAGATAGAGATGTGGAGAGAAAGAAAGGAAGAGAAAAGAAGGAAGCAAGTAAGGAAGGAGGGAAAGAGTGGGGAAGGAAGGAAGAAAAGAAAGGGACACACACATAGCCACACAGGTAAGACAGATGATAGATGGAATCTGCGCCCCTTGGAGGGAGGGGTTCGCCCCTATATTTTCCCTGGTTGGCTCTTTCTACTCAGAGCCCGCCCATGAGCATCCTTAGAGCCAACTTCTTTGTCCTTTGAGGTAAACTGGGGCGCTGTTGTTCCTTACTCTGTAACTTGCTGTCAAGAGACTAAAACACCCAAACCATCTTCCAAATAGGAACAAGGGGTGGGGACAGGGCAGGATGGGGAGACATCCAACACGTAATGCATTTTACACTGAAAAGCCTCCTTCTCATGCACGTGAATTTGCTTAAATATTTCCAAATTTTCACCAAGACGGCATCACAAAAACGTCTTTTTCTGGGCTTCTCAAGGCCTATATCCTGAGAGTGAGTAAAGCTGGCGGGGCGGCTACGCTGTTTGGGCCTGATGCCAGCAACATGGTGGAGTCTGTCACACTCCTTTGATGTTCACAGTCAGGACAGCTTCTGCCTGCTAAATATTTATTTAATCCAATTTGGCCAATCAAACTTCAGGTGTAGTAAATGATTACAGTAACAGGCAGCTCGTAACCCAGAGAACCCTTCCGCTTCCTGAGGTCAGCCTGGGGCTTTGTTTGAAAACCAGGAGTAGCCCAGCAGGAAAGAGGCATCCCAAAGTAAAAGGATAGGGTGTGGGAGTGTGTCTGAGTGCATGGGATTATGGGTGTGACTGTGTTATGGTGAACGTGTGTGAATGTGTATATCTGAGTGTATGTGATTCAGTGTGTGACTGTGCATGAATGTGTGTGAATGAGTGTGTGAGTGCATGGGATTGTGACTGTGTGTGTTATGTGTGAATGTGTGTATCTGTGAGTGTATGTGATTATGAGTGTGTGACTATGTGAATGAGTGTGTGAATGTATATGAATGTGTGTGGGACTGTGACATTGTGTGAATTTGTGTGTCAATGTGTGAACATATGAATGTGTGAATGAGTGTGTTGTGTGTGAATATGTGTATGGGTGAATGTCATGTGTGAGTATGAATGTGTGAATGTGTTTATGAATATTTGTGAGTGCGTGTCTGAGTGTATGTGAATGTGTGTGTGTGATGTATTTATGAATATGTCAATGTATATGCACGTGTGAATGTAAAAGTGTGTGTGACTATGGGGGGGCGTGTGTGAGTGAACATGAATGTGCATACTTGTGAGTGTGTTGAGGAGGGAGAGAAAAGGGGGAAAAGGAGAAAAATAAAATGGAAATGAGAGGGTGTGTGAAAATGTGGCAATTCTCTTCTCAACTGGAAATAAAGATTAACATGTGCAAAAAACAACCCTGACCCGAGTTTTCAGCTGTGCATGCGGCGGTGATGTCATTCTCCATTAATCAGGAAGCAGATGCTCCTGGCTGCCTTCTCTCCCATCGCCCCCTCAGAAAGAGGGTGAGGATGTCCACGGGGCTCTTCAGCTCTTATTTCTACCCCCATCGAAAGGCCAATATGAACCATGTGGCTGTCTCCACCCCTGACTTCAAAAGCATGTGTAGTTAAGGGACTTCAGCTTTCCAAAGGAGTACTCCTCAAGGGAGTAAGGAAAAAACCAAACTCGACCACTAAAGCATTCTTCCCTAAATGTCAAAGAAATCTGGTGGGTTGCTGATGTTGTTTTTCTAAACCTCTTTGCCCTAACAACACTTTATAACATACATGGAGTGCAAGATTCTCTTTTTGCAGAGAGAAAATAAACCCTAAGGCATAGAGTAATTTTCTGCTTGTTGAATCTTGTGCCTGGTTTGTTTCAACAAAGCCAGGTTTCCTTAGCATCACCTTGTCTAATCTACACAACAGGCACTTCCATGAGAGTATAACCATGTTTAGCAAAAGATATCAGTTTGCCAGCTACTTAATGTCTTGGGCAACGTACGGCTGCCAATATCCACTCAATTAGAAGGTATTAATCATCCATTTTACTGCTCTCCCCAACTGCCCGTCACCCCCCTTCCTCAGCAAGGCACAGAGCACAGCCGACTTCTCATGTAATTCAGCCTTCCAGGCAGATGCAGTTACATGGCAACCATCAAGACACCTCTCTTTTTTTCCGGACTGATATTCTATTAATCCTTACAAGTTTATTAGTTCTGACTCATAACAATCCATCAGCCATAAGTGCAATAAATGATGCTTGGAAATTAATACCCACGTTTCAGCAGAGAAGGTTTTATATATTAAATTATCTTTAAAGTTATAAATAAATAACATACGTGAAATAGATTTAAGCAATAAAAATATATTCAGCAAACAATACCCAGTAAGCTTAATATTCACCAAGCTGAAGCTACTTGGGCAGTATCTTAATAAGCCCTCAACTCCCTGCCCTCCTTCTCTTCCCTGGTAAAATCATAAATCCATCACATCAAATATTGGGTTTGTTTCTTTCTTGGAAGAAAAATAGGGCTTCCTTTATCTAACACTTATCCTCAGTGTTTCAAGTGTTTCAGCTGTTCTAGGGTTTTTTTTTTGTTGTTGTTTTTGTGTTGTTTTGTTTTTTTTTTTGGTTTGGGTTGGTTTTTGCTTGTTGTGGGGTTTTAGATTTTAAATTTTTTATAATTTATTTTTGTGCTTTCTGCTATTTTTTTCCAGCTTCCTTAAAGCATAATCGGCATATAAAAATTGCATACATTTAAGGTGCACAATATGATGTTTTGATATATGTATACATTGCAAAATAATTATCACAAGCTCATTAACATATCCATCACCTCACATAGTTACCCTTTATTTTCTATGTGGTGAGAACTATTAAGGTCTACTCTCTTAGCAATTTCAAGTATACAATACAGTATTACTGATTGTCCTTACCATATTGTACATTAGATCCCTGGAACTTATCTATCCAGCATAACTAAAACTTTGTACCCTTCGACCAGCATCTCCTCATTTTCCCCACCTCCCAGCTTCTGATAACCATCATTCTACTCTATCTGAGTTCAACATTTTTAGATTCCACGTATAAATAACATCATGCAGTATCTGTCTTTCTCTGCTTGGCTTATTACATTTAGCATAACGTCCTCCAGCTACCCCCATGTTGTCACAAATTGTGGGATTTCGTTCTCTTTAGAGGTTGAATAATATTCCATTGTTTATACACGTGTGTACACACACACCACATATACACACGACATTTTAAAATTCATTCATCAGTTGATGGATACTTAAGCTGATTTCATATCTTGGCTATTGTGAATAATGCTGCAATTAACACAGGAGTGCAAACATCTTTTTGACATACACATTTCCTTTAGACACATATCCAGAAGCAAAGTGGGATTGCTGGATCATATGGTAGTCCTATTTTTAATTTTTTTGAGGGACCTCTATACTGTTT